AACGAAAACGCAACGGGTTGAATGCGTTGAATTTTTGCAATAAAACTGGCCGGTACTGTACATTTTTTTTAAAATTATTGTTAATTAATTAATTAATTACTGACGATAATTAGAGAGCGCTTAAAGCGCTTATGGGACTGAATGGGTTTTAAGTAGTAATCAATTAACCTGTGGAGCCTAGCAAGTTCTACAGCGTGTCTTGCTTCCAAGCATGGCTACTCATAATCTAACACATACCCAATGGGATGAGGTATTAAAACAAAAATCATATGATCGTAAGATTGGTCCAGACCACTTTAATAAATCACCACTTATTTATCCCATTGATGCGAGTCACTCTTCTATAGTTATTCAACCTGAGTAGATGTAGTTTATACTTGTTCCTAGACACATTAAATTGTAGTTTTAAACACTGATTTTGTCATTATTTTCGTCAAGATGTCTCAACAAAATACACAGTCAGCCACAACCTCAACAAAAGGTCTGTACTGTAGCGTGGGGGTCGGGCCTAGCCTACTCAGTTACTGGTGTACTGTGAAGTACTAGTAGTGTAGCGGGGGACGATCTACTTACTAGCTAGGCTAAGCCTAGTAAGTAGACAGTGCAATTATATGTGCTAGAAAGTACACTTTCGAAAGAAATAAATTCAAATAAGAAAAAAAAATAACTAAGATTAATTATGTTGCAGACGTACCTTGTTTAAGTATTATACAATGCTAACAATGCGGCTCTTGTAGTCCTAGGCCTAGCTAGGCAAAGCATCCATGCCATGTGCAAAGCTGTGCTGTTTGTTTTTAATCACTGGCCGTATTCGACTGGTCGTTCTTCGTTAAACCACGGCCACCTGTATGGAAGGCAATCACCGCCAAAAATACAATTTCAGACAATAAACGTGCTTTCTCAAACAAACAACGTACATTTACAAATAAACAATGTATTTTTAAAAATAAACAACATACTATTACAAACAAAGAACATTCTTTTTAAAACAAACAACGTATATTGCCAAACGATGTATTTTCTCAAACGAAGAACGTACATTGTGAAACGAAGAACGTTCCATGCCAAACAAACAATGTACATTGCCAAACGAACAACGTGTTTTCCGAAACGATGTAAAATGCCAAATGAACAACGGAATCCATTATTTCAACGGGGTAATTGTAATTTTATAGCGCGCATTACACGCTGATCTACGGTGGCCCATATTCACGGCATCAATTTGCTCACGGCAATATAAGCTTTTGAATTTGCCTCACGGCAATATAAACTTTTGCCCACGGCAATAAATATCAATTGCCTCACGGCAAAATAAACTTTTGCCCACTGCAACATAACGCCCTCATCATCAGTTATCAAGTTCTTAGACTCTCTTACACAGAACTGACATTATTACAGGCTCGCACATGGCGCGAGGTAAGTCCAGTAAGTACAATTGTTTTCAAGGGCGGTGGAACTTTTGGGTGGCCAACCGGCCGGCCGAGGACTCTGGACCAGGTACTGTTAAAAATTATCTGATTACCTTATTATTAATAATAGTAGTACTAGTAGTAGACCAGCAGTAGTAGTAGACCAGCAGTAGGATGTGCCAGTAGGCAGTGATCCAGGCTAGGCCTAGGCCTCGGCTTAGGGCTAGGTAGGGCAGCCTAGGGTGCCCGCATTAATAAGCGGCTACCTTTAGTTTGCAGCTACGTAATTAATTAATTAGCTATACTTAATTCATTATCAACAATAATTAAATATTTTTTAATCTAGTAGCACGTCTATACTGCTACTTACAAAAATAACACAAACTCCCCCTTACGAAAATGAAAAATTCATTCCAATTGGAAATTGAATTGGATTCAATATGAGTTAATTGGATTTTAATTGGTATGAATAAATCCAATTGGTTCCAATTAAAAAAGAAATATTCCAATTGGAATTTTGGAAAAATTCCTATTGAGATCAATTGGATAATAAATGTCCAATTGGATTTTCCAATTGGATAACAAATAACCAATTGGAATGTGGAAAAATCCAATTCAAAAATTAATTTCCAATTAGAAGTCCAATTGGATAAAAAATACCAATTGGAGTTTAAAAAAAATACCAATTGGAATGAATTGGATAAGAAATTTCCAATTGGATTATAAATATCCAATGGGATATTTCACTTATTCTAATTGGATAACAAATATCCAATTGGAATGTGTCTAAATTCCAATTGGATAACACTTATCCAATTTGATTGTTTTAAAATTCCAATTGGACAACAAATATCCAATTTGATTGTTTTCAAATTCCAATTGGACCACAAATATCCAATTGAATAACATAACAGTACCCAATTGGAATTTTAAAAAAAAGTCAATTGGAAACAATATCCAATTTGATTGTTTCAAACATCCAATTGAAAAATAATGTAATTTGTTGAACTTGATACATACTGTATTTGAATGCAGAGTGAACAGACATGAGCAAAAACAACAAATATCCAAAATTAAACTCAAAACTGTACAACAAATAATATTCAATTGGATCTTGTTTAAATTCCATTTTGAAAAATATTTTTAAAATCCAATTAGTATTGATAGCAAATACCTGCTTCTTTTCAAAATGAATGATTTAAATTTTGAGAATCACTCAGTAAAAATCAATAAATAGTGCCACTGTAACATCAATCTCCATCGTAAAGTGTATGAACTGGCATTAAATCATCAAAACTACTGTATAAACCAAGCATGTTAAGATTGATTTTGTTTCTTCCAAATTCATGTACAGTGTGTGCCTATGAACTGCACTATCCACCAAAAAAATGAGCTTCTTTTCGAGGGTACTTTTGCAAACTAAAGAGGGGGTTCAATGTGGTACGATCTTATATTTTCTTCAATTGGAATACAATATCATGTAATTGTTGAAATAATTTGAGTTACAAGTATACAATCTTTATTGGTTTAGTACAAATGAATCCAATAAATTAAATAATATTTAAGATAACTTTACAGTATAATGTACAAATTATTTGTATCCCCATTACCAGCATAAAATAGAATACTGTACTATTCACTGCAAATATGCTCTTAAATATAGAGACTGCAGATTTAGAAGTTAATAAATTGGCATAATTAATAAACTGAACTTCTAAAAATATATTTATGCAGTGCATAACACTTTATCCCTGAAATTATGAATGAATTTCCTGATTTCACTCATTTCAAGTGGTACTTCTCTACATTAACTTAATTTATACCAGAGTTTAATTCAACATTAAAAAAAACCCTTTTCTAAGGGGTCATTCAACATTATGAACATGTTCACAAGTGTACAAACAGTACACTAGAGGGAGGGGGTAGACAGATTTGTACAATCTTACAAAATACATAAAAAGGTTGATTCAAAATAACATGTAAAATAATGGTAAAATCTTAATGTACATATTAATATAATATTCATTTTAAGCAACCAAGTTCATTGCTTTAGTTGACGAAAAATGGAGAGCGGTTTTTCAAAATCCACATTTTTGTACACTTCACAGGAGAGGGAGGAGTACCGAAAAAGAGTACTGTTTGTACAAATGTTGATAATTGTAATTCATTGTAAAAAAACTAATTAAATATAAAGGTGATCTGAGGAAAGCTGAATGTGAATTAAGTAATTGGAAGTACTATAGACAAATACCCCACACTTTTAAAATTATACAGTAGTTCATAATGAGAAAAGCACACAAGTTTTTTGTCTATCACTGGTAAGTATTGCTGGCGTTATTGCAATCACATAATACACTTTAGGTGAAACAAATTTATACCTTAAGCGAAACCACAGCCTGCAAACTTTGATGATTTTGAATTTTAAAAAATTTTATTTTTGGCAAATTATTGCACTTTCACCGTGAGAAAGTGGAAATAAAAAAAAAACAAAACTTTCTTTATTTTTGTTATGGCCTGCCTGCTTTGTAATGTCCAAAGATAAAATAGGTTCATACTTTCCTAATTACTGTATATAAATTTTAAGCATTTAACATACTTTTTTACAATGACCAATAAAATTTTACTTTTCTCCTCCATCTGGATGTTTTTAGCAAAATTATTTGCTAAATTAGAAAACAAAAATTTTATTTTTATTCCACCCTCATCCGATGATCTTTAACAAAATATGTATGTGAAAACAATAAAAAAGTTTCGAATTACTGTACTCGTCACAATTTAGTCTCGTTCATACATATTTGGAAGTGGGCAAACATAACAGTTGTCTCCATCTGGGCATATATATATATACACTTTTGCTGGACATTCTGAATTTTAATAGCAAACAAACCACTACCTTCGACAACAAGTTGCAATTGAGAATGTTGCCCAAAAATTCTGTTCTGTTGTATGTTTAGCGGTTTTACAAATAAAACACACTGTTTCTCCCTTTGAGTTTTGTATGTTGCCAATTTCAATATTTTGTAATATGTATTATCAGCCATAATAATGGTGTTGTTTCTTTTTGTTGCCCGAGTGTATTGTGTACTATGCAGCAAACATTTTTGATAAATCATTCGTTTGTAAACAGCTATTTCATCTGGAGCTGGATTTACGTTGCAGTCTAACAGAGCTGCAGCTTCTTCAGCAGATAGTTTGGAAATTGATGGTCTTCCCAGCATTACAAAGCCTTTATCAATTTCTGCAGCAGCCGAAACACGTGGTAGGATTAAGTCAGTTAATTTCTCATATAATTCTTGACAAGATGGATTAAATTGAACATGTTTTGAAAAACATGGAAGAGCTTTGCTAAGCAAGAAGCGCCTTGTAATCTGCTTCAAAATGTACTGAGTACCTTTAATTAATTTTGCTAGTCTTCCATTTGCACTTTCAAAACCAAATGCAGAATGTGCCAATAAGGGTCCCCAATTTTTCACCGACATAGCCAAGTGTGTAAGAAGGTGGACATTAAACTTGCACTCTTCAGGACCATACAGTATCTCCATTTTCCCAACAAATTCAATAAGAAATTCATGTGCCTTATTAATCTCCTGATACGTTATCTGTGCCTTAAGCAAGATAAATATAGCTTTAGAAAGTAGAAGTAGATGCTGAAGATTGCGAGCTGGAATGATGTCTCTTAAACAGGGAATGCAATAAAATAGTAACCAAGTCCTCCACTCACTGGCTTTCCAATACTTTACACCTTTTAATGACCGTGGGCACCGAGTTATCTCACTTGTGGGAGTTAAACCAGACAGTCGTGAATTTACCAAATTGAGCCTCCTTGGTGAACCAATGGAAAAATCTGTGCCTACTGATGTAAGAAATAAATATGTCATTTGCCTTGTAACACCCAAAAGGACACTATGCATATATTCGTGACTAAAACCAGACACAATATTAAAATAAGGAAGATTTATCAGAACAGATGGACCTTTGACACCCATAATCACTTTCCCATCTCTCACTGCTTGCCGCATGTGTTGCACAGTCTCTTCATCAGTTCTGTCAGAATAATTTTGAAGGGGGTATATATGTGCTGTTCCATTCCCTCTTTTTGCTTGCTTTCCTGGATGTTTGCACATTGCGCAACCAAACATTCCATTGTACTGCGTGGTATTTTGTAGCATAGGTCTGGCAACCGAATCTACTGCGGCAACCAACGGAACAAATTTGCTACTGATAATTTTTCCATTACTCGATTGCCACTTAATACCAGTGGTTGCCAAATTTTCAGCATCATCAACAAATGGTTGCAGAAAGAGAGTCATGTCTGGTTCCGTGTATCCAAACCAAAGTCCAGAAAGAACAGTATGTTTGTTCCGTTCCCTTGGAATTATTTCATTTATTGTAACATGTATTGGCCAAATACTGTATCCTGAACTTTTAAGAGGCACCATCAGTATTAAAATTGTATGAAAAATTATACTGTTCATCCAAGACAAAGCCCTTTGTCATAAGCTTTCTGTAGCGGACACCATCATAAATGTCTGTAACGCAACTCTTTGAGTTGCCTACATTATAGCGATTAATAAGTTGATCTTCCTCAATATTTTCCAGTAATGCCTGTAGTTGGGATGCGAGAGGAATTGATATAAAGTAATAAACTGATTTTAAGGTTTTGAGATCACAATCATTATTACAATGTGGACAATTTATATGTTGATCTCCGATTGTAGTATCTGTTCCAATATACCCATTGCAAATTTTGCAATAATAGTTGATTGTTACTTTGTCGCCTACATCAAAAATCTGTTTAAATAGATAATTTGTTGCAGGGACAACCTCACTTCCAAAAAGTGTATTAATAAGCTGTAATAAATCTGATAATGCAGCATCAGAAAGGCAATGGGTAATTAAATAAGCTAAAATAAGCATAAGAGCTTCACCACGTGTTGTATCCACTCCCTCAACTAGCGGAAATTCAAGATCGTCTGGTTTTCTAAACGTGAACGGATCTTCTAGGGGACGAACCTCATCATTTGCATCTGGAAGTTCCTGTTAAATAATTACAGTAATGGAAAAAAATTTAGCATGCAAGTTATCTACATCTGCTCGAATATTTAAAATTTAACAGTAGTAATAGGGGAAATGGACAAGAATTAGGTAGTACATTGTAATGTATTGCTAACTATAGGTATCCATGTTATATTGCTTCGGTGCTCTGATCAGTTAGTGGTTTGAACAATTCTAAAATACCTTAAAACCTCTTGAATTGAAGCCCACGATCTTGCCAACGGTCTGGCTGTCTACAAGAAAGCTAAGCTAGGTCATCCGGCCAATATGTACTGGAATTACATGACATGTACTGTATTATTAAATTTAATTTATACACATATTTGAAAAGGACATATGATTGAGTCATATTTTATAATTGTTCAAACCACTAACTGATCAGAACACTGAAGATGCTTTTGTTTGACATCACTTCCCGATGGTAAAACAAAATGTTGGAAAACTTTTTCCTGACGTACAGTATGCGCATTTTCACTTTAAATGTACACACACATACACACACTAAACTGATTAAAAGAGTTCAAATATGTTTGTGGGGTAATTCAGTTGATAAGGTATTACGTCTTTTTCAGCAATATGCCCAGGTCTCCTCAATCTACCTTCAAAGACAATTTCATCAGAATCGTCATCACTAGGCTGTACTCTATAATGCTCATCGTGGGTCTCATCCTCCTAAAAAGTAAATAAATGACTCATTTAGTTTTTCCAAAAGTGAGTGGATCTTCTAGATTTATAATTAATGGAAAACATATTAATTTGGTATGTGAAATAAATTATGCATATCCAACTTAGGTTTGTTATTTGAAAATAATAATACACATATATACAATAATATATATACCCAACTATAACAAAAATGTATGTGGGGTGAACTTACACCATTCAATTGATATGGATGAGGTATTCCATCATTTTCCGCAGCTGTAGGACAAGGCCTCCTCAGCCCATCTTCAAGGACACTTTCATCAGAATCGTCATCACTAGGCTGTGCTCTATAATGCTCGTTGTGGGTCTCAGTGTCCTAACATATTAATTAAACAAATGAATCACATTAATTAATTGTACTACAGAAAAAAAAAGAAAAACTAAACCACCTAAAAAAAATGAAAAACTAAACCACCTCAGCCCACTTGGTTGAACAAATTTTAAGAATATCCTACTGTACCTCTTGATACTAGGAAATGGCACATTATAATATTACCAAACCAGGAAATGGCACATTATAATAACAAAATTTAATTTAACAGAAGCCCAGGTCAACCACCACCCCCATGAATATACTACCACTTGATACCATAAAATGTCACATTATAATAACAAAATTTAATTTTACAGAAGTCAAGGTCAACTCCACTAACCCCCATAATTCCTCCTCTCCAGTAACTTACATCATTCAGTTGATGAGGTATTGCATCTCCTTCCGCAATAGGCCCAGACCTCCTCAATCTACCTTCAAAAACACTTTCATCAGAATTGTCTTCACTAGGCTGTGCCTCATAACGCTCATCGTGGGTATCCTCCTAAAATATTAAGTAAATACTGTAAATGAATCATTAGGTTTTCTTAAGGTGAGCTATAGTAGGTGAAGCTCATCATCTGCATTTGGAAGTTTCTGTTGAAGTGTATTAATAATGGGGAAAAAACAAGACAATTTATGCACATCTAACTTACAATACTGTAAAACCTTGAATTGAAGCCCTGGGTTATTTTTTGCCAACTTTGGATGGACTCTTTTTTTAGATGGGCTACTTTAAGAGATGGGCTTCTATTGGAGATGGGCTTCTTTCTGAGGCTAATTTTGCAAAAGAGGGGGGGAGGCTTCAATTCGACATAGGCTTCATCTCGAGATTCAATTCGAGGTTTTACGGTAGCTGTGTTATATTAAAGTAATGATACATATAATACCAATAAGCTCATTGTGGGTCTCATCCATCTAAAATATTAAGTAAATAAATGAATCATACATACTAATACCTGTACTATTGTACTAAAAAAAATATAAATAAATCATAATAAATTTTACTTTAATGGGAACCCAGGTCAGCTCAAATACCCCCATGATCCTGTAACAAATGAACTTACATCATTTAGTTGATGAGGTATTCCATCACCTTTGGCAGTGGGCCAAGGCCTCCTCAGCCTACCTTCAAAGAAACTTTCATCAGAATCGTCATCTCTAGGATCCGTTGAATGTTCATCTTGGGTTTCATCCTCCTAAAATATTAATTAAATAGATGAATCATAAATTATTAAATGTACAACTAAAAAAATTGATTGGGAATATATATTATAAGCCTGACAAGCCCCCATGCATTCATTTATTGATATTTTGCTAGCTGAAATTCATATTAATAATTCATTGTGGATTGTCCTGACAGCGTGATCCAATCCAAAGCGGGAATTGGTCAACCTGGCTTTACCCTAACCTCAAAACTCACTCTCGTCTATGCTAAAAATTACTAAAACGATCCTAAATTTTTAGATGGTTGAACAACTTGATAGCCCAGTGATACCAGATGGAATCCTGGTCAGACAACTACACTACCCAGGCCTGGCTTTCTACATCCTAGTGGGTTTTGTTTAGTTTTTAGCACTATCCAGGCCTTGGCTCATGCAAGAGGCACGGTGAACTTTACCCTGGCCTGGGCCACCCCGGTTAACAGTCATGACTTGTTTAAAAATCAAATCACTGTACTGTTTTTCAATCCCACACACAACAGGCCTGCTTACATGTAAAACTTATGGAAAACAAGTAATACGCATTTATTACATATCAGTAGACGTATGTTGAAATGAGAAATGGATCAAACAGTGTAGTTCAGCGATGCATATAGCTATCCAACAAAAATAATGTATTATACCGTTATGGCAGAATAAAAAAATTCATAGGCCTAGTCCTTAATGGAGAGCCGTATGTTTGTATAAATAATTTTTTTTTGGACAAAAATAGGCCTAGGCCTCTCTTGGCTTATTTGTTTGTAATATTGTCAAAAAACAAATTAAAAAAATGTTTGAATCTAAAATAAAAACAATCTAAAATGGAAACTATTCGCAGACTAGGTCTACAGTAGTAATACCAGTGCTAAGGCCCTAGTAGTAGTAGTATGTAGTTACTATTTAGTTAGTAGTAGGCCTATAGTCCTTTAGGTAGGCCTAGGCCTGTCCAAAGCCTAGCCCAGGTGATTACGCTTTTCCATGAATCAGTATAGACATCTTGAAGAAGTGATGACAAACAACCCAAGTCAGTGGTGATTAACCAACGGAAAAAGAAAAGCTCAGCTTTGAGGCTAAATTCTTGTCCATGTTATCTAAAAATTCATACTCCATAACGGAGGGTCGTATCACATTATTTTTTCTGGAAAATGTTCTAAGGCTTCCACACCACTATATGATTAAACAAAATTGAAAGATGTTTTTGACCTCTGAAATCAAGATGGAAAAAGAAAAGCCTATCTAAATAGTGTATTAAAATAGGCCCAGCCATAGGCCTAGCATAACTAGTAGTAGTGCACTGCACTGTGCATGCACCTGTGACCTAGGCCTAGCCTAGGCACCCAGAGAGGCTAGGGCCTACTATTATTTTAAAAAAAATATTTACCTTGAATTTACCTTGAACCATAGGACTTGAGAACTTAGCTCATTTGTCCCTCCATCGTCATTCGTACAAACTCTTCAGTTACGTACGGGCGAAACTTAAATTGGTGGTCAGACCAATAATTTGAAATACCCGATTTAAAAAACTGATGGACAGTAGTAGAATCAACCACCCAAGAGACAGTACCAACTCTGGAAGGGCCTTCACCAATAAAATAATCTGATCTGATATTCTTAGAACCAAAATGGATCACCTTACATTTCATTAAATTAAACGGTAGTTGCCAATTCCTAGACCACTGATACAATGCATTTACATCAGATTGAAGCAATATTCTGTCCAAATCTGACTGAATCACTCTAAACAATTTCGTGTCATCCTCAAAAAGCATTATATTAAAATGTAAAACAACTTCTGGGAGGTCATTAATGAATATAACAAATAATAAAGGCCCAAGGACACTGCCTTGGGGCACTCCACTAACAACATTACGCCATTGCGATTTTTCCCCATTAACAACGACCCTTTGTTTCCGATCGCTCAAAAAATCATGAATCCATTGCAACAATTTTCCAGAAATCCCATACGACCTTAGCTTTACTAACAAACAATTATGTGAAACCTTATCAAAGGCCTTCTGAAAATCAAAATAGATCAAACAATCAAAAGACAATCTTTATCTAACCAACATGTCCAATAATTAAGAACTTCAATAAGTTGAGTTACACACGATTTACCTGAGCGAAAGCCATGCTGTTGATCCTTTAACAGACTACACGATTCCAAATGACTGTAGATTTTATCTTTAACAATTCTTTCCATGATCTTACCCAAGACAGACGTTAGACTAACCGGCCTATAATTTAAAGGATCAGACTTACTACCTTTTTTAAACAAGGGCACCACATCAGCTCTTTTCCAGGAATCGGGGACTGTGCCCTCTGACATCGATTTATTAAATAGCAAAGTAACAAGTCCTCCAATATTTTCAGCAATTTCCTTTAATACTCTAGAATTTATCATGTCAGGACCCGGTGATTTACTCACATCTAAATCCTTCAAATAATTAATAACCTCGTCAACTTCAAATATAACCGAACCTACCACAGCATCTGTCTTCTTCTCAATATTGCTTGTCTGTTGATGAATTCTATCATCTTTAGTAAAGACCTGTACAAATGCATTGTTGAAGACTTCCGCTTTCAATTTATTCGAAAACACCGATACTCCATCACAATCAATCAAATTAGGAATGCCCTGCTTAGATTTAGTCTTACTTTTGATATAATTCCAAAACGCTTTGGGATTTGTTTTAACTTCAGAAGCGACTTTCCTTTCAAATGAAGCCTTTGCTTTTCGTATAACCGCCGTAGAAATGTTTCTCAATCTTACAAACTCACTCCATGAATTGTGATCTCTTTTATTTTGATAAGTGTTCCAGGCTTTATGCTTATTTTTAATGGCGACTTCAACATCTTTATTCATCCACTGTTTTCGTTTACCGTTAAATTTTCTAGAGAGAGGAATAAACTTAAAAATACTATCTTGGAGAGAACTTTCAATTAATAAAGCCAAATCCTTAGTATTCAAATCCCCTGCAAACTGCTCTAAATTCAAATCACGTAAATAATTATTCATACCCAAGTAATCACCCTTATAATAATTTCTAATTACTTGGTGCTTCATTGACTTCAACAAAACAATCCATATTAAAAGTCAATACTACATGATCACTAAGTCCAAGAGCAGGCTTATAACATAAGTTTAGAGGCTCTTTTTTCCCCATCTTGATTTCAGGGGTCAAAAACATTTTTCCCTTCAATCATATAAGCTAGTGGTGTAGAATAATCTTTTAAGAACATTTTCCAGAAAAAATAAATGTGATACGACCCTCCGTTATGAACTTTCAGATAACATGAACAAGAATCTAGCCTCAAAGCTTATCTTATTTCTGTTGGTTAAGCACCACTGACTTTGGTTGTTTACGTTTGTCACGTGGAAAAGGTAAACACTCAGGTAAACTCTATAGGCCTAGGCCTACATTTTCTGTTTGGTATGCATCGCTGCTCCACCATAGCTTATTCATCATTTTGAAATTCACGAATTTTAAAACAAAATAAAAGTATATATAGGCCTAAGCCCGAATTAAATCACGGTTTTCGGTTCCATTCATACTGTAGCAAGCCCCGGCAGTAGGCTAGGCCTATATTTATCTGCTGATTGCTAGTTGTATCGGGTTCACTTGGGTGGAGGAAGGTCGGCCTCTGGTTCAATATATGCCTTATATTTAGTTCTTTTCGCCATGAAAAATGCTTAAGTTATGGCCATCTAAGACGTACAACCATGGTGCAACACATTTCGAACCCAATAGCAAATAAAAATGATCTGCTCTCCCCAGGCGGCCGGTCACAGACGGCTGCCGCCGGCGTATGAATACCACTGGCAATTTTATTCGCGCGAAATTGTAAGCGTCAGTTCACTTCCTAAACTCTGATTGGTTGCGCATTTTTTTCACGCTGAAAGGATCGGTTCATGTGCATGCGCATCACATTTCTATCAGAGTGCATAAATGCGCAACCAATCAGAGCTCAAGAAGCGAACCGATCGACGCTTATTCCCGCAAATAAATTCGCTAGACCTACTCTAGTGGAAAACAGGCTTACGCAAGAGTTGCGCCGCCAGCGTTTAACGCGCATCCCAGAAAGTAAAAAAAAAAATGTCATCAAGAAAAACCTATATTTACGAATCAGTATTCATGGTCGAACAAATTTTGTTAACTTTGCATCTATTAATCTATTTGTGCTATTTTTGGGGTATTTTATCTAAGTTGAAAATGCAATAATAATTTTGGTCACTGACAAAATACTGGAAATTTTTGAGAATGTGACAACCTCTATTCCCGCGGAATATCTGTATTACTATTAACGGCTGCGTGGACGACGAGCGGGCTATTATGAGATTGTCTAAAATATCCAGACGTTTAGTAGAGATTCTCTTCCCGCCGGTTATCTTTCGACGTTAAAAGTCTGTGTGATTAACACTATTCTTTCTTTCGCCGAATCAGATTTGGCGGTTATTTCCATTCGCCTGCTAGAGAAGAGAAGCGTTGTACGTACCACCAGTTGTCTACATGAATTTGCGGAGACCTACAAGCATAATTATGGTTCGGCCGTCGCATGCATTGGTATATTTTAAACAAGAACGTGAATATGATATAGTGGCGGTAGCAGATATTAAAAAATTTAAACCTAAGAATTTGAGCGACTTAAAAAAAAACAAGGTGTATGCTGTCAAGTGGGGCAATAGGCCTAATTCTAAAAATGGTCAGACTCAGACTCAGTGTTATGAAGCGTTTATTTTGCAGTTGGCTGGTAAGTTTTAATTCTTGATTTGCATGCTCCTAGGGGCCTAGGCCTAGGAAGGCCTCCATCAGGCCTGGCACGTACTATCGCCTAGGCTATATTAGTAATGGAAATTTACAGTCAGGGCTAACCTAGCTAGGACTAACCCAGCTAGGTAGCCTAGGCCTACCTTGCCTGGCTGGCCATAGCCTGGATATCATTTTACCAGTGGCATAGGATGGCCTAGAAATGGATAATTAAAAAATCGTTCTTAAATCTGGGGGGTTGAAAACAGGACGGTCGACCGGCTCTATGGTTGAAGTTTGCACTAGCCTAGGTCAAATTATTCTATCGCAAAATCTGTAGAAATTGGCCCTTACTTTTTTGAAATGCACAGGCAAGTTCAAATTGCACATGATATCGAGGCAAATTTCTGGCCAAAGCTTGTACTAACCAAGGCCAAAACTCAACCTCAACTTTTTAATAATAATAATGTAAATGTATATCCTCTTGCTGTCCAACAAAAAAAAATATGTGGCCAATTCATTATGAAAATAATTAGCAAAATGAAAGAGGAGTTTGAGTAGCGACAAAACAAAAGAATAAGCAAAGATCTGAGTTTTACTGGATTAGATAGCCTTGTTTGTCTTATCTTATGTATTTTTTGCAGTGATTAAGCTTAATAAATAAATATGCTTAGAGGCCTGCATTATCCATTATCATTGGCAAACTGGCCTGGGTTTCAGAGCCATGTTTCAAAATGTCAGGTGTAAATAGAAAATTTCAGTAGTCCTTGTTTTGCATCAAAATTAGAGCTTCTTTAACTACTCTTATCACCTTCGAACACGATTGGATTTGTTGCTCTTTTTTTTATAAAACCTTATAAATGTGATGCAAAAATTATCGGCACTGGTCTAATTATAAACCTTCTTTTATTATCAGAATCTGAGGATGTGTTGCAACAAGATATACTGACGTCAGATGCTCGTCTGAGGATTCCTAATGTCACTATATCAGAGCCTTTAACTGAAACAAAGGATGAGAGTACTAGCATAGAGGTTGCTCAAAAGCAGTTAGTTGCAAATGAAAAGGTAAATAAGATGGTAAATATGCACTGGGTACTATAAAAGTTGTTTTAAAATGCATAAAAGATAAGCTCATAATTTATATTAATTTATTATTCAATATTTCATTCAATACACTACACAGTCATTCATGTTCAAATTCATTTTAACACTATAGTAAATATATAATAATCACAATATTTATATTTGTATCATTATTCTATTATGATTTAGTGCTGAAACTGTAACATTCTCACAGTATATGCAAGGCATTTGCACAGTACTTGCCTGATGATATTTAGTATCTCTTTATATAAATATTGCAGAAACAGAAATCTGAAAAGCAAGTAGCAGCAAGCAAGCATATCCAATTTTTGAAGTTAATTTGGATTCTTCATCGGATGAGGAGTACACAGTAGCACATGAACCAAAGGTTAGAATTTTGTGCTTTTTAAAACTTTTCTAACTTTTGATTACGTCAGATGCATTTCAATATTGTTTCTTGGGCAGCATCAGCTTTTCTGTGAGGACAGGTTATTCAGTGTCTTCCATGGCAGACAGGACCACACAACTCTCAAATAATACCAAGAAACATTAATTTTTGCATCATCATTATTTTAAAGCTGTTACTCCCACCAAACTGATTAATTCAGTTTGGTGGGAGTAACAGCATTGAAAGATGGGCCTTATAGCCTGGCTACTGATGGTAGTAATGATTATTGTGATACAAAACTTTATCCTGTTCTAGTACGGTTGGTGGAGTAATTTGTGTGCTTCTCAATTTGAAAATATTTTACAGTAGTGTCAGACAATATTTTGTTGCATGTGATTACATGTTGCAGAAATTTCCCTATAAGGATCCTGTTCTATTGAATGCTGATGTAGTGGACATCAACAATAGGGACCAGAAAGTGTCTCTTTTACCAATGTGAGAAAAATGGATGATTTTTTTTTTGATAGGGACCAGAAAGTGTCTCTTTTACCAATGTGAGAAAAATGGATGATTTTTTTTTCGATTATGATGACTAGGGCCCTTCAGATATTGCAAGTAGAAATAGTTATTTTTCTGCCCCCTTAGTTAGTTTTCGCAGATCCACAGTACAATTTATAAGTTGATGCAATCAATATTTTTTTGACAGTGTCCTCCTCATAACCAGGTGGAAGATAGGCTAAATTCACTGGAGTCATGCCAAAAATGCAATGGCCCAACCATCTATTGCCAGTGGACTAGCGTGAAGTGTGAAGGTATGTATCATGTTATGTTATACAATTTAGGAAATTTCTTGAATTGGTTTGAAATCAATTTATATTATATACCTGTACTTATGTAGAATATGGGAAAATATATCGTATGCAGTGTAATTTAGTTAATGAAAAGAAGAATATGTAAATGTCTTCATGGTAAATCTTATCTTCATGGTACAATAATCAGCTCGGACATCTTTCAGCATGAATTGCACAGACATTCTACCCACTCACTTCCGCCTTTCATCAAAAAAATTTTGAATTTTTTTTTAGTTTGAAAAAAAATAATTAAATATACATTTTTCTATAAGAATATTACAATAATGTTTAATACCAATTGAAAGATAATAACTTTTTTTGCTTATTAAAACTATTATTTAGTGTTGTAAATTAAAAAATTAATAAATTTATAATTAATATTAAAAAAATAAATAGAAATACTGAATCAACAGCCAGAATAAAAAAAAATGCATCTCTCAATCAGTACAAATTATTCCTTTACAAAATAAAACTAAATTTGAAAGTTAAAACTTTATATAAAATTTCATTTCCAGGGGCCCTAGGTAGGTAGGCCAGGATAAATTCAAACTTGTATATACAATACTAATTTTCAGAAACTTAAAAAAAAAAAAAATAAGTTTATGAGCAAAATTGAGTAAATATTTAAGTAAGTATCTAATCGAGAGAGATATCAAGTTGCATGTAATTAATTAATTATCTGTCACCAGGGAATTACCACACTAGCCTGGTTCACGTCAAACTTTTATCTAAATATAGACCACTTAACTAGTTTGACGTAAACCAGTCAATTATAGCTAGTTAAAGGCTTAAGGCTACGGCCACACTAGAGTTTCAAGCCTGGCTTGACTCACCGCTGGTGATATTTTCGTAATGTGACCGCATCTGCACAGACTCGCGCCTGGCGTGACCTCGATCTCAATCTACCTATCTCGATCCCAGCTAAGCACCCATATTGACCCTGGCGTGACCGAGATTGACATTTCCTCGTCGGCTGTCGACCAATCACAGTCGATGACGCCGTTGCGTTTAGAAGTTCTTGAATTAAAAACCTGCGAGTTCTTCATGTGTGTTCAATCAAGACGCAATCATTACTTTTCATAAAAGTTAATTCAAATTTTAATTAATAATGCGATTGATTTGGAGCGACCAGGAAACGGCTGACCTGGTAGATTTGTGGGCCCAACCTGAGCTGAGGGACCGGATAGAAAATAAAAAAAACAAACAACAAAACGGGAATTTTTGGCGTGCTTGCTGACAGATTAGCCAGTCTCGGACATGAGAAGAGAAAGACGGCCCAAATTCAAACAAAAGTGAAGGCATTGCAAGCCCAATACAAGCTGATAAAAGATCAGTTGAAGAAGAGTGGTTCGGGCACGTCTGGTGTAAAATCTTTGATTGCGATCCACCCAATCACACGGAGCGTATATCGAATCCTGTGAAACAAAGTTGGCAAAACTCTCTCTTTACGGCTCTGCTGTTTCGACTTTCATAATTTAGAGGTCAATCCAACTAGTATGACCGACCCAGAATTTCGAGCCTGGCTTGAAATCTCATCCGCGGTGAGTCAAGCCAGGCTAGTGTGACCTTAGTTTAAGTTACTTACAGTTAAGTGACTTAACTTTACTAGAATAACGTTAACTTGGCTCGGATTACAAGGACACGATTACGTAACGTAGGCATCTAAGCCAGCGTTGTTGTGTTGTACCATCATTATCATATCCTGGCTGGCAACAACATACTCCAACAATGCTAACAACAGCATTCCATTTCCATTTCCGCTATAATAGTCACAATTAATTAAGTTTCAACGAACAACCACAAACACCAGTCGTTAAAATGAGCGCACATGTTTACGATGACGAAATCAAAACAAAACAGGGGTTTCAGCAAGCACTGTACATTATTGCCATTAACACTTATAACACATGAATGGTGCGGTCGGTTAAGCATGTGTTCTAAAGAACACAAGATTGTGGTTTCAATAAATTCAATTTTTTTATTTCAATTTTATGTATCTTAATTTTTAATTCCAAATGTTTTTTTTGTACAAATAAACATTCTATTTATTTAAAAATGTATTAAAATAGGCATGATTTTGAACATTTAAAAATTTAAATGTACTAATTTAGTCAAAAAGTGATTTTCAGCATTTTAAAATTAATGCACGCAGGGTACGCTCAAAATTAAGATACATGACATTCAACCTTGACCCAAAGTTTATGCCCACTGAAAGTGATTTTTGATATGGCAATTGGCTAGCATGATATGATCGATAAAGTAAAAACGCAAAATTGCGCATACAGGATGTCACACATGACTGATAACCTTGAAAAGCTTATTGTCACCATTCCAGGCCAAACCAAATGATCGTTGAAGTTTCCATGTTAGTAGCTCTTTGCAATTTTGAGATATGTTTACAAAAATGGAGAGAAAGCTAATAAACATTTAGAATTGTATGACAACAATACTCTAGTTGCAATTAAAAGTAAGTACTGTGAAATGGTTATTGGAGTAATTATTTTTACTTTTTAATTAATTTTCTTTTTCTATACGATTGTGGCCTTGCATGGCATGTAAAGTGCTTCAGAAATAACAAAAACAAGGTACTGTATAGATTTCAAGCAATTCTGTTTTCATGTTATTATGAATAAGTATCTCAACACAAGGAAATTGTTTGATGTCAACTTTAAAATTCATCATTAAGGAAAAAAAATTATACTGGTCATGCATTACTTGTTTAATAGTAATTACAGGTGACCAATGCATCCTTATATATCACAAGCCCGTAGCCAGGATTTCTAAAGGGGGTTCTAATTTTGTTAAGTCTAGCTATTCTGTATCTTGTATAGTCTTTATAAGCCTAGCCTGGTCCTTGAACAATTTTATCATGCCAGTGTGTGTGGTAGGCAGGCCTCTCACATCGATGGTATGTTGTCATCTAGTAAGAAGTGATTTTAGCATGCATGATAATTTAATTCAATCCTAAATATTTATTACTGTCTTTAATTATTTTCCTTATGGATTCAGATGGATTAATCCTCCATGTATACAGCTTTAATGTACTAGTATATATTTAAATAATTTGTAAATTTGTCATTTGTTAATTTTTACTAATGCACAGACCCAGGTGCTTCTAGTGAAGAAGCTAAAGACGTAGTGTATAGCCCTGGTATGGGAGAACAGACTGAAGATCAGGAGACAGAAAAAGGTGAATGACAACTCATTTCAATTCAATTGGGCCTGGTCTACCTTTAGCAAATTCTTTATATTTTTCAAATCTATCGAATGTTACATTAAACTAAAGCTAAATCAATTATTGATTAAATGTACGTTATTTTCATACTAATATTCGGTGGAAGGTTCTGAGTCGCCCACAATGCATCACGTCGCTCTGAAAATACAATACTTAAAATTCGGTTCCCGGCACAATAGGTCTATTGTTGGTGTTCGTAACTCTGATTATTAATTCATGAAATACTGTAAAGAAGATTTGTTGTTCATTAGTCAACAAAATACAGTAGGTCTGAGCCTATCTTTTGATTTGAAGGACCTAGAGTAGAATTTACACTAGACTTAGGCGAGAGATGAAGATGCATCTGCATAGCCTAGAAAAATTATCCAAGTAACTGTAGTCGTGCGAAATCTATGTCTGTAACTGAAATGTCTTTGTGTACATGGTAGATACCACTAGTAACTTGGTAGATATAGGTAGATAACATTTTAACGCTATACAAACTACATTGCCTAGACCAAGGAGGTATCTAAACAACTTAACCAAAACATAAACAAAACTATTACTAACACCAAGGCTGTCTTCCCTACCCATGCAAACCTTCAAACAATATTTGGGTATTTCCATGAAGTTTGGCCAAGGTCACAACCAGTTAAATTCAAGATTGTGCTAGGCCCACAGAAAGAATCCAAGTATGTTGTGTTATTAAAAATGTAGTCTGAGCTTCAGTGTACTATGACATAAAATTTTGTTGTATTTTCTATTATAAAATCAACGAATATTACGTAAACCCAACTTACTTTTGTATTAATTTCATGCTTGAACAACCATTGATACAATGCGTATGTTTTGATTTGCAGAGATTCCCGTTTTCGCACAAACATGATTGTTTATAAATTAGCAGTAATGACGTAATGCGTGGCGTCCCACGTTGTAAAAATAGTTGCATCCTGTCCGGGGTACACTGTTGTTGTAATAAAAAATTTTCGAAATTTAATGTGTACTATATTAGTATTTGAATATTATGTGAATATAATTATACTTATATTTGCTGTTTCGTTATTCGATTAGAATCAATAAAGCAATAAAAATGAGTTTTGGTGTCCATTTTAATATCGATACGTCTTAAAACCTATCAGGGTTTTCAAAGTACACCACCCTCAATTTTGAAATGGATCGTTCTTAAAATGCCTTGCGAATCATGTTTGAAACCCATCTGAGATCTGAAGAATAGCTTTCTGGTCAATAAACATTGCAAGGGCTCCTTTCAATTCTGGAGTCCTTTGGTTGCGTTTTGATTTTCTGCTCGATTTCTGTTACGTATTGTTATTAATACGCCTAAATGAAAAGAAAGGTAAGTGAATAATTTAATTAATAATCAACCTAGTTAAAATGCTAAAGTGTTGTAAGTCATGTGATTATTTTCAAGTTTTCAATTTGTTTTTATTATTGCCAAAATTTTGACAATTCTGATTCAAAATTAAATTTTGCCGCGGTGTCTGGTTTGGTTTTGATTACGTCTTGATCGGAAATAGCCTAGGCCCTAGACATTATTTATTATTATAACATAAAATAACATTACAGGGGAATTGGAGGGACGTATCACGAGCCAGGACAGATGCGATGTCCTTGGCTGGCTGGATATGTCTTGTTGTCATAAGATGATAGGATGCATTTTATTTAGTGTAATATGTCCTAAATATGATGTAATTAAAAAAGTAGTAGTTTTCCGTTTATACAATATTAGTTTAGAGTGAAATTTAACCAGGACGTATTGTAGAGGCCTGGGGAAACGGTGTCCTTTTTGGTTCGGATAGGCCTAGATTAGCCTAGACCCTACGTATTTTTGAACTCCCACTTAGCCTGCGTATTCTGACGTATTTGCAGGTTATTACTCTTTCCTAAATATGATGTAATATATAAAACATTTTTTTTTACGTAGTGTATATGTAGATTTAATAAATATTTGTAGATGAAATTATAGGATTTGATTTAAATTTCCAAGGACGTATCGCATGATTGGGCTGAAACGGCGTCCATGGATACGTCTTGCAAGTTGCAAATTAAGAAGAGAAATATCATCATGTGGTTGGCCAGGTATATACTGTACTGTAGCTTTCTCAGCCGTGGACAATCTCTATCAATGAGGCCTATCATGGCTAGCCGATAATTGTTTTTATTGTGGGTGAATTCTACAGTATATTTTGATAGAAAAACAATTTTGGAATTCTGAAGAATAAATTTGTTCTATTGTTCCTTTACTTTTATTAAATTATAAAAGTGTAATTAAATGTTCACTTTCAAATTAAAATTTAATCTCAGGCTTAGCCCTAAATCTAAAATATATTTTTTAAAAATAAAACTATGTTTACATTATTACATTAACAAATTAATATATTAAGTTAGGTGGCATTTCCAATAAATTCCACCAAATATCAGATTTTTTTTGGACCCCTAAATTATTGTATAATAAATACATTTGCCAATCTTAAAAGCAATACAAAAAATAATTTAATTAAATGTATGAAATTTCATGCATTTCCAGCATCTCATTTTCTATTTACAATCCATACTACAGGTGGTATGCCTTATAAGCTACGAATAAACCTTCGATTGAAACCTACAACATCAAGTGAGCCTACACCGGATAATCATCCATGTACTTCAACCGGTACTGCAAAAAAACCAAACTGGTACTGTCATGAAAACCAGCAATTTTGGTGTCACAAAAGGCATCTTTGGCATTCCATATTTGTTATTGTAAACTTACTTGGTGCAGATGCATCGACTAATATGCAAATTGGTCTTAGTACGGGGTTATGTGATGTTAGTGAGGGTTTTTGTTTCAGTGTACTGCAGGTAGGCAGCCGGACATGTGTGTGCCGGTAGTAACCACGGAGGTGGTAAAAATTAATAATTTAATTATAGTCTCAACAGTTGTGGAATCCGTTTGGAAGTTAGCCGAAGCTAACAGTGGCCTTCCTTGGTAATACACTGAAACAATTTACTCCTGGTTAGCCGTTGTGACGGTGAGTAAAACTGTACAATTAAATATTGCTATGCTAGGCCTAATTTTTGTGAGTATTGATAATTACATCAGTATAGATCCATTTATTCATGTACTGTGATATATAAGATGGGGGTTGTTAACCATGTGTTTGTAAATGGGGCACGCTCTGTGGAATTATGGATTGTTTTATTTAAAGGCTTTATGGATAGGCTTGATTATCTAGACCAGTGTTGGTTGAGTATCGAGACGACTGTGGATGCCGTGTTGTGTATCGTCGCTTCATTCAAGCCAAGTCTGTTCAAACGTGTATACCAGACGAGCGGAGCTGTACGCGTCTGAGGTTGTTCATGTTAAGGCCAACTCAGACAGCGTCGGCCGACGCAGCCCGACGCGATTTATCGTCGGGGACAGTCGGTCAAAAATCGTGCGACGGCAAATCGGGCTGACTAGCTTAACTCAGATAGACCCGACGAGCCCCGACGCGATCCTAAAAACTGTATTGTTTTCAGGAGAGATACGATATTGCAAACAAACAAACGGAAGTCAATCTGCGTTTCTGATTGGTTGAATCTTAAATTGTAGTCACGGCAGACTAGACGCGTACGTACACTGAGTGTGAATGACCTGAATGTAAACACGGAAGTGCTGATTGTGTATGTGTTCATCTCAAACGTAGGCCTAAGGCCTGGTAAGTTTATATTTATTTTCAGAAACACTAATATCACAAAAAAGCTTAATATATTTGTTTAAAGGTAAGGTAGATCTTATTTCTTATTGAAATTCGCTACTGATCTGAAAGAGGATAATAAAAATTATGGGTAGCTAGGCCTATACTATAGGCCTAAGTAGGCCAGAATGAAGTAGAGCTAGTGGTTGAAGCGGCCGCCGGTCGATAAACAGTAATGTGTATGGACCGCCAAGTGTGCAGTGTCCAATAATGTGTATGTTGGACAAGGTATCATCTACTACTAGGCTAGGGAGATACGGACATATTATATAGGCCTACAATTTCAGAGTGGTTATTCTTCCGACATGCCATAGGAGGGAACTGAGGTTTAGTATATCGTAAAGATTGGTCTACCAATCAACGTTTAGAACAAATCAAAAATTTCATTAACTGATCATACAGTATTATTTGTGTGCAGAAAGAGATTAACCAAATAGCCTTTACTTGTATTATGTAGGTTTGACATAAGTTCTGGCAAAATGGTAGCAAGACGGAAGTTATATGCAGCAACCCTACTGCTATTGATTTTGCGACGACGAAGGCGACGGAGAAATAGGGCAAAAAATAGAAGGTGGTGTAGACCATGGATTGCCAAACGAAGCCAGCAGGGTGCGTATAAAATTATTATTATTATTATTATTAGATGTATTGCCTGCCAAATAAACAATCAGAAAAAATTTATTACAATTTAATGTACAATTTTTAATTACCAGCCCAGTTATGGGTAATGTATATGCATATTATTTACTGCCTGTTATTGATGTGATTTGGAAGATTTAATTCAAATCCTCTATTTTGGCTTGAAAAATCTCATTTTGGATTTTGTTTTTCAGTATTGCTTTGGTTTTTTTATTTTTGATTAATTTCATTTCACTTTCAATATATCTGCCAAACACGAAATCTTCATCAGTTTTATCAACAACAGCATTATCATCGTGCTCTTTAAAAGCTTAATTGAAGTTCTTCATTTTCAATTTCTTTTTTTTGTTTGGATGCTTTAGACGTCGGCCTGTTTGCTAGTTCAGGAACTTCTGGACTTGGCGTTTCACATTCAGTTTGTGTAATGGATTGTAGAATTTCTACAGGATCTTCTGAAATCTCATCACATTCATCTAAAACCTGCAAAAACAAAAATGACAATGTTATCTTCCTGTTATACTTCCTCCCATATGATGTGTTTAAGTGTTCTACTTCTTTGTTTTATGTATAACATATCTTGTTGTATTGATTATACAACAAACTCCCTA